GCATCCAAATTGTCTCTACATACCTACCCATGACCCCCAGTTTGAGTGTGCCCAGAGGTATTTGTCATAGCTCTCCTGAGGCAGACACCGTTTATCCTAGGCCTCATACCTACAGTAATGTCCCAACTCCCTCTACACAATGACCAACCAACTGCAGCTAGCCTTTGTCTTGGAATATTGTTTCAATCTTGCCTAATGACTATAGGCCAACTCCCACTGAAGTAACCCAGCAAGCTTTTCCAACATCCAATGGACTATAGCCACACTGTGGCCAAATACCATAATGTGACCCCAAAGATCTCCACCTATTGGTAACCATGACCCTAGAAAATGCCCTCCTTGGGCAACCTCTTTCAGGTCCCCTCCTGCTGTAGGAGCTTTTCTGTCCTCCAAATAAATCCTTAAAAAGGAAAGAAAGAAAATGCCCTCCTGTTGAGTGTATGTAAGACTTCTGATCTATTTCTACTCAAAGGAATCTAGCAAAACTGAAGGTATTTTGCAGATGTAATTGAGGTCTCAAATTACATCTGTTTTGAGTTCATTCACAGGTAATTTATCTGGGTCGGCTTCACTTAATCAGGTGACAGTCTTTTAAAGAGGGTCTAGGCTTTCCAGGAGTTCTGACACTCCTTTAGCTGGCTTAATGAAGTGACAATGTAGCAAGAACTACAGGTAGATTCTTTTTTTTTTTTTTTTGAGTTGGAGTCTCACTCTATCGCCCAGACTGGAGTGCAGTGGCTGCTCCTGGCCACCGCAGCCTCGACCTGCTGGGCTCTGGCGATCCTTCTGCCTCAGTCTTCCAAGTAGCCGGAACTACAGGCGCACGCTACCACGCCCAGCTAATTTTTGATTTATTGTAGAGGTGAGGTCTTGTCAACTGGCCCAGGCGGGTCACGAACCCGCGGGCTCAGGCAATCCACTCACCTCAGCCTCCCAAAGCACTGGGATTACAGGCTGAGCCACCGAGCCTAGCTACAGGTAGACTCTTAAGAGCGAAGGTCAGTCCCCAGCTGACAGTGAGCAGCAAATCCTAAAGCTGCAAGAAAATGAATTTTGCCCATTACCAAAGTAAGTGTAGAAATAGAATTTTTCCTATTTAAGCTTTCCTAGTTAAGCTAGATGAGACTGTAACCCAACCAGTGCCTTGATTGTAATCCTAAACCATGTCTGGACTCCTACCTAAATAAAGTGTGACATAATATGAATGCACTGTTTTAAACCACTACACTTAATTTGTTAGGCAGCAACAGATAACAAATACACATCTAATAAGTCTAAATTCCTGACTTGGGAAAGAGTAGACATTATCTTGTGTCTAGGTATGTAAAGTTCATGTATTTTTTGCATCTACCGCTGATTTATTCTTTCTATTTGCTACAGAGTTTTCCAATAGTATAAGTACACTACAGTGTGCCCATTCTTCTGTTGATACACATTTGGTTGTGTATTTTTTTTTCTTTTTGGCAATATGTGGTCATTTCAAATAACACAGGTATAAAAGATATTTGCTTTTATCTTTTCTGTATTTTTGAGTTGGGGGTCTTTGTTTCCCAGGCAGGAGTGCAGTGACACGATCATGGCTCACTGTAGCATCAACCTCCTGGGCTCAAGTGATCCTTCTGGCTCAGCCTCTCAGAGTAGAAGGGAGTACAGGTACATGCTACCGTCTATTTTTTAGATTTTTTTTTTTTGGTAGACACTCATTATGTTGCCCAGGCTGGTCCTGAACTCCTGGGCTCAAGCAATCTTTCCATATCAGCCTCCCAAAATACTGATATTATACATGTAAGCCACTTTACCCGGCCTACTTTTATCTTGATACACGTGTTACATGTATCACTATTGTGTTACAGAGCATGTATATATACAAACTTAGTGTATACTGCCAACAGCTTTTGAAGTTGCTTTTCCAATAAACACCACAAAAAGCAGTATATGCACATCCTCAGCAACTTTACGCCAGAACTTTCATCAATTATTTCACTATGTTCAGCTAGCTCACTGAGATCCCTTAGAGGCAAATGGAAAACATGGATATAGTAAGCCCTCACTTAAAGTTGTCAATAGGTTCCCAGAAACTGAGACCTTCAACAGAACTACATACAACAAAACCAAATTTGCCATAGCCTTATTGATATAAACAAGAATTAAATTCCTATAGCATTATTTCTCTTCCCAAAAATATCACTAAACTTTTAAATAAAGACCCAAACCACTCATCTATTTAACATGTGAGCTATATATAATTTAAGAAAGACTAGTAAAAACAAGTAAAATAATTATTTATACAATTTTTTATGAATCAGTGAGAGATGGCAGTAATAGTAGTGCTAGGTTAAATCAAGGAATAAATGATGCAAAGCAGAAAACTTAAGACGCATTTCCTACCACCACACAGTCGAAAAACAAGCAATAACAAATATGGTGGCCTCACTGACTGGTTCTGTTTATCGTCATTCATTTGTATTACTGTATACATTACTTTTACTTTACAATAATTTGTAGTCATTCATTTATTCACGTTCCAACCCACTTATTCCAGATCAGAGTCATGAGAGGCGGCCTATCCTGGCAGCTTAGGACACAAGGTTGGAACCAACCCTGGACAGGAAGCCATTCCCTCACAGGGTTCACACACACACACTCTCTCCCTCTCTCATATTGGGGCAATTCAGACACACTAATTAAGCTAACATGTACATCTTTGGGATATAGGAGGAAACCAGAGTACCCAGAGAAAACCCACTCAAACATGGGGGGAACATGCAAACTCCACAGTGGCCTCAACTGGGAATCAATTTTTTTCTCATCAATATTATAACAAACTGACGTTATTTGGAGACCTGCTGTATTTTCAAACCTTGAGGCCCCTTCACAGTTTTCTGGCTGTTCACATTGGCAGAGGTGTTTTGTGGTCATTTACTTATTGAGTGTTCCAACACTCTAGATGTGTGCATATCTATAAAAGTCACATATTGGGTTACTCTGGACTTGTGTTCAGGGAAACAAATCACTAGTTTGCATATGAGGAGGAATTCCAAAGTGGACTGAGGGAAAAAAAACAACACTGAAAGAGGTTTTGACTCTGCTTATGGACACAAACATTCCCTAAAACTGATAATTAACATAAGAGAATTTTCATGAAGAATTTAGTTTTCAATGCGCAGACACTGATTCTCATTCATTGCTTGAATTAATAGGAAATTAATACAATTAAAATACATTCGTGACTGGGCCCAGCACTTTGGGAGGCCAGGGCAGGAGGATTACTTGAGGCCAAGAGTTTGAGACAAGCCAGAGCCACATAGGAAGATCTTGTCTTTACAAAAATATTTTAAAGAAAATAGCAGGGCATGGTGGTGCACTTGGGAGGCTGAGGCTGGAGGATTGCTTGAGCCCAGGAGTCTGACACTGCAGTGAACCATAAGCATGTCACTACTCTGCAGCATGGGCAACAGAGTAAGACCCTGACTAAAAAAAAAAAAAAGAAAGAAAGAAAGAAAAAAAAAAACATTCATACTTTCTCCTGTTTTCCTTGATTTACATCATTTGATTAGATATCATGTACTTCTTCCTGTCATGTATACATTGAGGATTAGATTATTTCACCATATTTTTCCCCAACCAAAGAAATTGACTCAGTCAAACCTGGGAGCAAACTTTGAAGCACTCCCTCTCTCACCCTAGAAATGGAATCAGCTAATTCACAGAATGCTTTGTCCATTCCTCCTATTTCCTTCCCTTTCAACATAGCTAAATCATACAACTTATATTTTGGTCTCAGCTTAAATATAACTCTTTTCTTAGCTTCACTTCCTACCACACAATGACAGAGAAAATAACTTCCTTCTACTTTACTTCCAGACTCTCATCAATTTGTTATACTATATTTATGTGCTTGGTTAAATAACAGCCTCCTCCACTAGTTTATAAGCACCCTAAGCACAGCCCTAGACTGAATTTTTTCACTGTCTTAATCAATTATTTAGAGACTCATCAGTTTATAAGAAATGGACAAAACTTTTAAACATATCACAAGAATACAAGAAATAACAAATTGCGTGACTTTCTGAAAGAACAAGTGATTCTTCAAAGACAGTATAATAAATAGTGAATGCTAGGTTCAAAAAGACAGTTACAATGCATAAAACCTGGATAGAGATCAGATCCAAAAATAACCAAAAGCATATTTTGGAACAAAGTGGAGAAATTTACTTCCTTACACACGGTAGAGATTAACAACATCACTTTTTTCTTGGTTCAAATAATAGTACTGTGGTTTTAATAGGACAATGTCTTCATCTATGGAATATGTATTGCCTTAGACCAGGCGCGGTGACTCACACCTGTAATCCCGGCACTTTGGGAGGTCGAGGCAAGAGGAATGCCTGAGCTCAGGAGTTCCAGACCAGCCTGGGCAACTTGGTGAGACCTCATCTCTAAAATAAATTAAAAAAAAATAAGCCAGACGAGATAATGCACCCCGGTAGTTCCAGCTACTTGGAAGGCTGAGGCAGAAGGATCGCCTGAGCACAGCAGGTCAAGGCTGTGGTGGCCGTAAGTGGGCCACTACACTCCAGCCTGGGCAACAGAGTGAGACTTCGACTCAAAAAAAAAAGAGTATGTATTACCAGCATTTAAATTTTAAGTGTCATGCCTGCAATCTTCAACATTCTTCAAAGCCTCCATCCTTTCTTCCTATAAGCCCTTGTTTTGAAGCTCTGTGGGGAGGCACAGGCCTAGAAAGTTCAGATGAAAAAGAACAGCTGAGTACTCTTGTTTTTCTTTAGTAAAAAGACCTGCGGTTTTCAAACGTTTATATTCACATACAGAAATAAGCACACTCCAAACACCTGATAACAGCCTTATATTTCTGCCTGAATGTGTCAAAAATAAATACATAGGAAGCTGAAAGAGAAAGCCAAATTCTGAGACGTAACGTTTGTTTGCAAAAACAGGAGGTAGAGGACTCCCTGGACCAACTTTGACCCCGTGCTCACCGGGACGCGCCAGTCGCCAGGTCCGTGAGGCGGGAAGACGCAAGGTCACTGTCAACGTGACTCGAACGGCGAAAGTTTGTTTCTTTCTGAAAGAAAAAACCGAACAAAGGCCGCTTTGGAGGATTCTGAAGAGGCAACCACCGTGTCTGAAACAACCTCGAGGAAGCACCCTGAGGACGAATCCCAAGACAGCTCCGGGAAGGACCTTCAGCTCCTGTGGCCTCCCCGGACCTGGCGCGCTGGGGAAGGAGGGGAAACGGGGCGGGGATAGGGTGAGATGGGGGGAAGAGAGGCCAGGACGGAGGTGAGCGGACCGGCCAGCCCGCTCTAAGGAGGCCCCTCGGCGGCCTGCGCCAAAGTTTTACTTCCACCACTCGTTCTAGCAGCGGTTGTTCCCCTTTACCCGGTCTCACCAAAGCTGTATTAAGCCCGAGGACCATCAAGAAGAATAGCAACTTGGCCCCAAGCGCCGGAAGAGACAGCGGCGCTCCGCTGACGTACTTCCGCTTCCAGCCTCACACGCGGAAGAAAGCCTGGCGTTCCGAGGCTGGAGTCTCAGCCACAGCAAATTCTGGTTTCTTCCCGCGTAGTTGGTAATAACCCAGGGGTCGGCTCAGCGCGGGAGCGGGAGGCAGACACAGGCTCACAGGACAAAGTTGAGGTTAGAACGAGGCCTCTGGGCGGAGCTACAAAAAGGGGCGGGGCCCATACCCTGGACTGGGGTCGATGGTGGGACCTGGCCCAGACCGCATAAGCTAGAGGTGGGGACTTGCTCACAAAAGCTTTCCTATCTGCCCCCGAGCCCTTCCCCCCGCCCCCGTCAGCATCCCTAGTACCCTTGCAGTGATTCTCCCATTGATAAACCTGCCAACCCACGAAATGATCTATCTGCTACATTCAGTAGACCCAGTCTGATTTCTTGTATCTGGACACTATGCTACACTTTAATAGCCGATTTGTGTTTTCAACGTACTGATACTTTTTGTAAATAATGAATTTTTTTGTCTTCAAATGTGTTTCTGACTTTGTTCCTCGGATCTTATATCACAAGTTACGAGTCCTCCACACTACGTTGTAAAATAGCACTGACACCAGGTATTCTTCACTCATTCAGGGATAGTTCTAAAATTTCTTTGGAAATGGGCCGGCACGGTGGCTCACACCTGTAACCCCAGCACTTTGGGAGGCCAAGGCAGGAGGATTGCTGGAACCCAGGAGTTCGATCCCAGCCTGGGCAACATACTGAGACCTCGTCTCAAATAAATAAAATTAAATAATAAAATAAAATAACAAAATAAAAATTTTTGCTGTGTTTCTTAGTAAAACTGATAGCTGTTTTGCTGTTAATTATTTGTACTTTGCCGTATTATTTAATTTTTATGAAACCAAAGGAGACTTGTTTGTTTTTGTTTTTTGAGTCGGCATCTCACTCTAACGCCCAGGCTGGAGTGCAGTGGTACGGTCAGGCTCACCAGCTTGACTTCCTTGGCTCAGGCGATCCTTCCACCTCAGCCTCTCAAGTAACTGAGACTACAGGTGTGCACCACCACACCCAGCTAATTTTTTTTTTTTTTTTTTTTTTGGTAGAGTTGAGGTTTCACTATCTTGCCCAAACTGGTCTCGAACTCCTGGGCTCAAGCAATCCTCCCCCATCAACTTCCCAATGTGCTGCGATTACAGGCGTGAGCCACCATGCCTGGCCTTAATATTTTGTTAAGGATTTTTTTCATCTATATTCATGATAGATAGTAATTTCTTTTTCTTATGAAGTTTTTAATCTGGCTTTGGTAATAGTGTAATGCCAGCCTCATAGAATGATTTAGAAAGTACTCTCTTCTACTTTTAGAAGGATTTAAAAAACAATGGTGTTCTTTAAATATTTGGTACAGTTCACTAGTAAATTGACAGTTCCTTGGTCCTTGACAATTCTTTTTAGGAGGTTTTGACATATTAATTCATCTCTTTTCCTTGTTATAAGGCTGTTGAAGATTTTTACATTTCTTCTTGATTCAGTTAAGGTAATTTATGCATTTCTAGGAATTTGTCCACTTTGTCCAGGTTATCTTTAACTTGTTGCGGTACAGTTGTTCATAGTATCCCCTAGTAATCTTTTTTCTGTGTGGTTTGTTGTATACCCCAATTTTATTTTAATTATGTGTATCTTTTTTTGTTGTTGATCTAAATAAAAATTAGTTAGTTTTAATTTATATTTTCAAAGAAACAACTTTTAGTATCAATGATTTTCATTGACTAGATCCTCATCTATTCTCCATCTCATGTATTTCTCTTATTATCCTTATTCTTTCTTTCCTTCTGCGAGATTTGTGTTTAGTTTCTTCTTTTTTTGGTAGTTCCTCAAGGTATAAAATAATGTATAGATATTTACACCTAGAAAATTCCCAGTCATTGCCTTGCTAAGCTATGGTGTGGCCATGTGCTCTTTGAGCTATGACTGGACCGTTTTTCCTGGCTTGGCCCCTCCCCTACCTTGGGGAAGTGAATTCCCTCTTTCTCTGTCTCCAATATACTTTCTAAATAAACTATATTTTCTAATCTAAAAAGAAAATTTCCCAACAAGGGTACCTGCACAATGAATATTTGTATACCTAACCCTTAATTGTACCCCACAATTTTAAAACAAAAAATATATATAATAAAAAAAAATTTTCCTACGGAGAACTCTCTTCATTACGTCCCATAAGTTTTGGTCTGTTCTGTTTTCATTTTTATCTCTACATGTTTTCTAATTTTCTTTATAATTTATTCATTTTAAAAAAGGAATACCAGCAATGTTATTTCTTACAGTTCTAGAGGCTGGAAGTCCAAGATCAAGGCAGTTCCAGATTCAGTGTCTTGTGAGAGCCTGCTTCCTGGCTCTTATCTGGCCATCTTCTCACTGTGTCTTCACATGGTGGAAGGGTAAGACAACTGTCAGAGGCCTTTTTTTTTTAAAATTGCTTTTATGAGTCAGAGTCTCACTGGGTCACCCAGGCAGCAGTGCAGTGGCATGATCACAGCTCACTGCAGCCTCAAACGTCTAGGCTCAAGTGACCCTCCCATCTCAGCCTCCAGAGTAGCAGGGGCTACAGGTGTGTACCACTATGTCTGGCTAATTTGTGTGTGTGTGTATGTGTGTAGAGATGAGATCTCACCATGTTGCCCAGACTAATCTTGAACTCCTGGGCTCAAGTGATGCCCCTGCCTTGGCCTCCCAAAATACTGAGATTACAAATGTGAGTCATTGTGCCTGACTGATTGCTTTTTTTTTTTTGAGTTGGAGTCTCACTCCTTCACCCAGGTTGGAGTTCAGTGGCACACTCACAGCCACTCCAGCATCAACCTGCTGGGCTCCAGCAATCTTTCCATCTCAGCCTTCCAAGTTAGCTGGAACTACAGGCGTGTACTACCACACCTGGCTAATTTATTTTTTTTTATTTATTGTAGAGATGCCTGGTTAATTTTTTTTTTTTTGAGTTGGAGTCTCACTCTGTCATCCAGACTAGAGTTCAGTGGCCACTCCTGGCCATCGCAGGCTCGACCTCCTGGGCTCTGGCGATCCTTCCGCCTCAGCCTTCCAAGTAGCTGGAACTATGGGTGCGCTACCATGCCCAGCTGATTTTTGATTTATTGTAGAGATGAGGTCTCACCAAGTTGCCCAGGCAGGTCTCGAACCCGCGGGCTCAGGCAATCCACTCACCTCAGCCTCCCAAAGGTGTGGGATTACAGGCTGAGCCACCAAGCCCGGCTAATTTTTTTTTTAATTCGTTGTAGAGACAAGGTCTCACCAAGTTGCCAGGGCTGGTCTTGAACCCACAGCCTCAGGCAATCCTCTTGCCTCGGCCTCCTAAAGTGCTGGGATTACAGGCTGAGCCACCAAGCTGGAGTGCAGTGATGCTATTATAAGCCCACTGCAACCTTGAACTCCTGGGCTCAAGCAATCTTCCTGCCTCACCCTCCCAAGTAGCTGTGACTAAACACATGTGCCACTATGCCTGGCGTATTTTTATTTTTTGTAGAGATGAGGTCTCACTATGTTGCCCAGGCTTATCTCAAACTCCTGGCCTCAAATGATCCTTTGGCCTCAGACTCCCACATATCTGGGATTACAGATGTTATTCACAATGCCCAGCAACTTTTATTTAACAAATTTTCATTTTCTATATTTATGGGGTACAAAGTGATGTTATGATTCATGAATACAATGTGAAATAAATCAAGCTAATTAGTTTATCCATCATCTCAAATACAATTTTTTTGCAGTGAGAACAGTTGCCTTGTAATTTGATTTGGTCCACTGTTTTAAATGTGTGCTGTTTAATTTATACATATCTATATCTATAATTTGTATATATCTATGTGCAAATTAGATATGTTATCCCAGTGACTTATGTCCCCCTTGGATTCTGATGACAAATTTGTTAAATGTGTATTTTTATATTTTTCTTCTGTTACAGATTTCTAGCTGCATGTCATTGTGTTTTGATAAGGTACTTTGTATGTATTCAATGCTCTTAAATTTACTGCGACTTGTTCTGTGGGATAGGCATATGGCATATCATGAAGATGATCCATACACACTTGAGAATAATATGTATTTTCACGATACTGGTTGGAATGTTCTACATGTCTCAGAGGTCTAGTTGACTTATAGTGTTGTTCAAGTTTTCTCTACCCTTATTCATCTTCTATTTAGATAACCTTTTTTTTCTTCACCAGATGCTGTTTTCATTATTGAAAGTAAGGCACATAATTATTCAATTATTATTATACAACTATATATCTCCCTTAAATTTTGTTGAATTGTTTTAGGTTCTCTTGTTTGGTGCCTATATGTTTATGATTGTTACATCTTTTTTTAAATCTTTTTTTTTCAGTGACAGAATTTTGCTATGTTGCCTAGGCTAGACTCAAACTACTAGGCTCAAGCAATCCTCCCACTCTCAGCCTCGTGAGTAGCTGGAACTACAGATGCACACCACCATGCCCAGCTTGTTATATCTTCTTGATGAACTGACATTTCTATCAGCATATTGCCATACTTTGTCTACTGTAACCATTTTTGGCTTAAAGTTTATTTTGACTAATATTAGTATAGACAACCCAGTTTTCTTTTGGTTGCCATTTGCATAGAATACCTTTTCCTGTCTTTCACTTTCAGCCTATTTGTGGTTTTGTATCTAAGTGAGTTTCTTGTAGACAGAATACAATTTGATCATGGTCTTTTTTTGTTGATTCTGTAACTGCAGGACTTTGACTGGAGAGTTCAAACCATTTACATTTAAAGTAAAGCACAGCCTGTAATCCCATGCTTTGGGAGGCTGAGGTGAGTGGATTGCCTGAGCCCACGGGTTCGAGACCCACCTGGGCAACTTGGTGAGACCTCATCTTTACAATAAATCAAAAAATGAGCCGGCGTGGTAGCGCGTGCCTGTAGTTCCAGCTACT